TGCAGATCTCCTCGCAGAATATCTCGCCAGCTTCACTTTATCCCTCTCTTTCTTCCTCATTCCCAATCAAACCATCTTGTCGTCCCACTGTCCATCTTCCTCTTTCTTCCCTCACTTCTGCTCCCTGGGATCTACTTTCTTGTTCGCCTTGTAGTAAAACCATGTCTGTCGCCAGGCAAATGTTTGGACAAGTCCAGCGTCGAGCTTTCTCGGCGTCTGCTAGACAGGTTAGTTTTCTCTGTCACGGGTTCTCGCACACCGCACACCGCATCTTCTATCCTCTTGGGATGAGCTCGTCCAAGGCTAATGTTTTGATGCTTTGGGCAACAGTCCTCCAAAGTCGCAGTCCTCGGTGCCGCCGGTGGTATCGGACAGCCTCTGTCGCTGTTGATGAAGCTCAACCCCCGTGTCTCTCAATTAGCCCTCTACGATATCCGCCTGGGTCCAGGTCCGTTCTGTTCACGATCTTTGACAAAAACAAGAAAGAATATTGATCAAGACTGTGGAAATAAACAGGTGTCGCAGCCGATATCAGCCACATCAACACCAAGAGCACCGTCAAGGGCTACGACCCAACTCCCTCGGGTCTCCGAGAATGTCTGGAGGGAAGTGACGTTGTCCTCATTCCCGCCGGTGTCCCCAGAAAGCCTGGAATGACCCGTGATGGTAAGAAGATGGTTTCCAGACAATGAAGATGCCGATTCTGACGAGGTTGTAGATCTGTTCAACACCAATGCTAGCATCGTTCGGGACCTCGCAAAGGCTGCGGCTGATGCGGCTCCCAATGCCAACCTTCTGATCATCTCCAACCCTGTACGTGGACATAAAAAGACGCCTTTACCGCATTTCCATGAGATGGTGCTAACAACTGTTCAAAGGTCAACTCGACCGTTCCCATCTGCGCCGAGGTCTTCAAGAGCAAGGGTGTCTACAACCCCAAGCGTCTCTTTGGTGTCACCACTCTCGATATCGTCCGTGCCTCCCGATTCGTCTCCGAAATCAAGGGCACAGACCCTGCTAATGAGAACATCACCGTTGTTGGTGGACACTCGGGCGTCACCATTGTCCCCTTGATCTCGCAGTCCGGTCACTCCGACATCACCGGTGAGAAGCTTGACGCCTTGGTCAACCGAATTCAATTCGGTGGTGACGAGGTCGTCAAGGCCAAGGACGGTGCCGGTTCGGCTACTTTGTCGATGGCTATGGCCGGTGCCAGATTTGCCGAGAGCTTGCTCAAGGCCGCTCAAGGCGAGAAGGGCGTGGTGGAGTGCACCTTCGTCGACAGCCCCTTGTACAAGGACCAAGGCATTGATTTCTTCTCCTCCAGAGTTGAGCTTGGTCCCGACGGTGTTCAGAAGATCCACCCGGTCGGCCGCATCAACCAGTACGAGGAGAACCTGCTGGAGGCATGCTTGGGAGGTGAGTTCCACTGGAATGCAACCCTAACTCACGTGTGGCTGACCGAATTTCCAGACTTGAAGAAGAACATTCAGAAGGGTGTGGACTTTGTCAAGGCTAATCCATAGACAAATGGAGTGATCCCTGGGGCCTTTTTGGAGCTGGCATGTACAAACAACAGACCTCCAAAGTTCTTTGGAGCGTGGGGTTCTTGTGGAAGACGGACACACCGAGTTTCCAATTCATCGACTCTTCTAGTTGGATGTATCTTTGAGCGCTCTGCAAGACACTAATTAACCAACCCCTCCTTTCCCGCCGGTATTAGTGTTGCGACCCATGTTTCCCACCGTCTTTGCCTCTCGAGGCCTCCCGCAATCGTGGGCCCCGTACGCGATTCGAATGCACCGTGCCCTCTTCCCCGAAAGCCGCCAATGTACTCGATGCAAAAGTAGACAATCTTTGCCGAAGGGATGGATGGGTCCGAGACTCGGTGTCCAATCAGACAGGCCCAGTGTTGTGACAACCTTGGAAGTGTGCTGAGTTGACATTTTCTGACAGGTCTTGAACAAGCAAGCTCCGTGCTGGCAATGACATGGAAGTGGGCTCGAGGCCTTGAGATGGGTTAGAAGAGAGAGAGGGTGTCTGGCTGGAACTGGACGCCCTGGCACTCAATCAATCAGACGCATGGATGGCAAGGATGCGTGAATGGCACGGGCGCATGGGCGCATGGAACTCAGTCGAGGTCCTCTCTCTCTCTCTCTCTCTCTCTCTGGTGAACGTATTAATACCCCTCCCGGCCCTGCTGGATGGGCGACCTGCTCTTGCCAACCTTGCCCACGAGTCCATGACTTGTCCTGTTTGTTCTGCCTGGACCTGCCTGCCTTGTCCCCTCACTGTCAAATCCCTCACTTTTCACCTTTGGACACCCAATCTACTGCTACTGCTTCTAACAGAGCCCCTGTTTTGTTGGCGCCCGCCCACCCGGAACAAAAGACACCAAGCCAAGCCTGTCACTTGGGTTCAGCTGAGATTTGAATTTCGGGGGCAGCGATCATCACCACCCTGACTCGACTCTCACAGACAACGTTTTTCACATGTCCCTCGTCCGTCCATCGAGGGTGTGACATCTCATCCCGAGTTGCGTTGTCATCGTGGACCGAGTCGCCCAGTTGTCTGAGCCAAACTGTTGAATCATCGCCCTCTCTAGCCTCTCGTCCATTGATCAATCAATCTCGCAGAAACAGATCCCCACCGATCCAGCATCCCCCACAATTACGCTCCGCCCCCAGCATTCTTAGCATCTGGAACTAAACTACATGTTCGCTAACCAGCCCGGAAACCTCGCCAAACAACTATAAAGTCCACTGACGACCAACTCAACTCAGGTGGCACGGGATCGAGTCGCGAGTTCATGTCCTAAGTCATCAAGGAAGGCTCATCTAGATATGGCAACATTTCCCACCATGTCCCGTACCGTCGACTTCGATGGCGACCAGGAGATGGCCGAGCCCGCCGCCGTCGCTGCACGAGCCAACCGATCCGATTTTGACTGGAGAGCACGGCGTCTAGCTAATCTTTCGGGTGAAGAGCGACACACTGTCGAGATGGATATAGCCACTACAGGTGGAAGAACATACCTCGAAGAAACCCCTTGGAAAAGACCGGCTCCCTTACCCAATCCTCTGTTAGATTTACCGCCGATTGCCCCCGGTAATCCATATTTCTTTCATGAACAAATGGCCGTGCCTATAGACAGGCTTGGGCAGCCTGAAAGACAAACACTTCCGCCTTTGAGCTCTCTGGGGTTCAATTGGAACAGGTGGCAGGCAGAGCAGTTTGTTGTCCAACGGAGAAGAGCCAATGCGTTACCTCCTCCTGAACAACACATTATTCCAGAGCAGCTTGAAGACGCTTATGCTGCTGATGATTTTGCGCTTGATGCCTATGCACCCCAACGCTCGACACTACCCACCGAGTGTGTTGTTTGCTTTGAGGAGCACCAAGCCGGGGAGCTGGTTATCTTACACTATTGCCAGTGTGCCTATTGCCTACCCTGTCTCAACCAGGCCTTCCGAATAGCCTGCAGGAATCGAGGATCTTTCCCTCCTACGTGCCACGGCATCCCTCTCCGCATATCTTCTCTGGGCAGCGTGCTTGATCATGATGTAGTGGCACGCTACAAACAGATTGAAGCCGAGTTTGGCGCGCATCGTCCATTCTATTGCGCTGCGCAAAGGTGCTCGGCGTTCATTCCAGAAAAGGACCGTTCCGCCGAGCAACAGGTGGCGGTCTGTCCTCAATGTCACAAATTGACATGCACGTCTTGCGAACGGGTCCAGGGCGATCATCCCAGTTGGGCTACCGAGGTGGAGGAGCGTGTGTGTCCGGCGCCTGAGGAAGGAGTTACCAAATTATATGAGCTGAGGGACGAACACCAATGGAGACAGTGTCCTACTTGTGGGATCATGGTGGAGAAGACTGATGGCTGTGACCACATGGACTGTGTCTGCGGCATCGAGTTCTGCTACGTCTGTGGCACCCTTTTCGATGAAAGCAGTCGTTGTGGGTGCAACGATGAGGAATATTATACCGACGAGGAGGAGGAGGAGGACACTGCCATTGATGAACCACTACCTTCCCTGCGATGGCCTTTTCCTGCGATTCCTCCTACTAGAGCTCCTCCTATACCTCTTGAATGGGTTCTCATGTCTGCACGAGGGCGACCTTATATTTGAGTATGCTGAGACGACTTGTTAGATGCTGGAACATTCAGGCATCTTTCTCGGCCTCTGGGCCTTTTTTTGTCTTTCAAATGAGGGCAGGACCGTCACCACAGCCAGGCTCTCAGGTTATTAGAAACCTGCCCAGTATGCGGAGACGAGGCGCACAAGTGCCCGTGGTTGGTGGACAGGGCGAGTCATGACAGCGAGGGATTCTGGAGAGGCTTGTGCTTCTCCTCCAGAAGACCACCGGAATGGTTGTCCACCAACCCCCTAGTCATTGCCCTCTATGGGTACTGTCACAGCTACCCCCGAAGCGGCGTCGCTATGAACTTTTTGTGAGAGAGCGAGCGAGCGAGCGGATGAGGGCGGGATATTGGAGATGCCCAGGAACAGCTTTACGGTTTATGACATGACATGACAGGACACGAAACATGATGCAATACAATGAATATAACGCAACGCAACGCAACATCTTTGGGCAGGGAGGAAGGGAGCAAGGACGGAAGGAAGGAAGGACAGGAGGAACCTGTCCTCGGTTGGCGGTGGGGAGCAAGCGGACCAAGGGCAAGGAAGGAAAAGGAGGCGAATAGGTATTTAGTCAAATGAGTGTTTTATTCACGAATTTTGAACGATGGAAAATCACTAGGGAAGAATGAAGAATGAAGAATATGGAAATGGACGATGGGAAATTTACCTTGGAATACCCATGTACCTATGTAAGGTATTCATGATATGAACAAGTCAATAGACATTGAAGACTGGACATTTCCTTGATACCTCGTCGACAGTACTCGGTTCTTGTAGACCCTGTCCTTTTTTTTTCTTTTTTAATATTCATCAGCACGACCTTTTTAGACAATTCCCCTTTGTTCTGACCAGTTATTCCGGGTCCGCAATCTTGAGAATGCTCTTCCCCAAATTCTCGCCACGGAGCATGCCCAAAAACCCTTCTGGCGCGTGGTCCATGCCCACGGTGATGTGGTCGACCGACTTGAAGCTGCCGTCCTGGATCCACTGGGTGACTTTCTCGTCGCGCTCGGCGCGCCACGCCGCGATGTTCGGGTCGAAGACCAGAAACCCCTGCCAGCGCAGACGCTTGCGCACGACCGAGGCGTAGTTCTTGACGCCGTACGGCGTCGTCTCGCGCGCGTTGTTGTACGTCGAGATGGAGCCGCAGGCGACGATACGGCCAAAGTTCTTCATGTTGGCCAGCGCCACGTCGAGCAGTTCCCCGCCCACGTTGTCGTAGTAGATGTCGATGCCGTCGGGGGCGAGCCTCTTGACGGCGTCGGCGATGGACTCTTTCTTGTAGTTGAACCCGGAGGTGAAGTGTAGGTCGTTGAGGATGTAGGACAGTTTGCGGTCGTCGCCGACGGAGCCGATGACCTGGTTTTTGTTTCTCGTTAGGTCTCACCTCTGGGGAGATTTCTCTCTCTCTCTCTCTCTCTCGGGAAAAAGGTGGAAGAATCGAGGTTGGGTAGAGAATAGAGCCAGCAGGAGGAACATACATGTAGACCTTCTCGGACGGCAATCTGTCCCACCATCTGGCCCACGGCGCCCGCGGCGGCAGAAACCAGAATCACGTCCCCTTTCTTGGGCTGCCCGATCTCGTGCAGCGACCCGTAGGCCGTCATGCCCGTCATGCCTAACAGGCCCAGGTACGCGGTCAGGGGCACGCCTTCTTTCGGCTCGATGATCTCGGTGGTGGCGACGGCCGACTCTTCCTTTCTCGAGTACGACTCGGTGCCGGAGGCGAGCAACATGACGATGGCGCCCGGTTGGATCTTGGGGTTGTCGCTCTTCAGCACTTTGCCGATGACACTGACGCTGATGACGGGCTCGCCCGTGTTCATGGCCCCCACGTACGATTGAATGCTCGGGTCTCGCATTCGGCCGCGTTGGCTGGGGTCGTATGCCGCATAGTAGTTTTTGGTGGTGAAGCCGCCCTTGGGTGGAGGTGCGGCTTCGTCGAATCCAATGTCCTCGACTGTCAGGTCTTTACCTGGGACGGGCCAGCCATTGGGGATGGCCTTTATTGTGTTGTGTCAGTGCTCTACACCTATCTCAACGATGGGAGAATGTAATGTCACTCACTTTGTAGATGAATGCCTTGTTCTCAACCATGTTGATGTATGTGGAAGAAGAGAAGAGAGCGGAGGAGGAATAGGACCTGGAAAAAGAGGTGGTAGTAAACCGGGCTTTTGTATGCTGTTCACCTATTCGTATGAAATTTCCTATCGTCTTGAAGAAAATGGTCATGATAATGTATTAGTCTTATTTGTAGGACTGCCCCATCCATAAAGAGTATCAGTCAGTCCACAGATTCTGGGATTGGGGGGAGTTCTGGCTAATGGCATCAACTACAGCCAACCACAAGCATCGCCAGTACCTCAAGGTTACCAGATTGTGCCTCGGTATGTAGCTGCTTGTGGCATTGATTGTTAATACAAAGGGAGCTGGGCACTACTGAGACTGGGGGACACATAAGTAATCGGCAATTTGATAACCCCGTGAGTGCCCGGCCTGGTCGTCACAAGCAGCCAGTGACAGCTGGAGATTGTGAGAAGATGGATATGATGGGACATGATGTGGATGATTTGTTGAAGGGTAAAGGGTGACGGTGGACGGTATACCGAGAAGGACGAGAAAGTGAGAGACTCTTGGCTGCCGTGGGTGCGTGGGTGTGTACTCGGTACCTAGGTAGGCGCCTAGGTGCGAGTTCCAGCTAAATAGTTCATAGTCTAGCGCCCATATAAGCTCTGGTGGTCCCCAAGACGATCATGGACTGGCCGAGGACATAATATTTTATAGGTGGTGCTGGGTATCTAGGGCTTCCCTAGCACATTCTGAGTATTAGCACCGAAGAGAAGCAGTAACAACCCATGAAACTCAATATGATAACATCACTATTAATACTCGGCAATATCAAGAAGAATCTCCTACGTACGTATGAGATTATTGAGAATCAGTGTCTCTTCTCTCTCATCGTCTTTCTTCTACTATTATTTATCCATCATGTTACTTGGGTATTCCGCCACCTGGCCTTCATCCTCGTCCAACCGTCAAAGGCCGGTGGTTGCCTAGACTTGAATATGTCTACATTTCCCTCCTCGTTTCATGCCCAAATGTATCATTACGAGTAGGATTCGACTCGACTGGCCAACAACAAACCTGAGATTGGAGTTAACAGTTTCACTCTTGCTCTTAAGAAAACAGACAGAGAGTCAACCTCTCTCAACAAACGGTAGGCTCATTGTCGGTCTCCCAGACATCACTTGTTTCTTGTTTCATCTAATCCATCTTACCATCCCCCCTTTTTTTTCCCTCCTCATTTGTGCCACTTCTGCCCAAAGTCTTGCCATCTATTATTGGACCAGTGACTAGTCATTCTAGCAGATGTTTTTCTTGGTGCAAAATCGACTCTTCCTTTACTCAAGCCTTGTCACTGAAAGTTAATGCCAATGCACCACTGCACCAAGGCCTTGTCGTTATCGCCTTGTGTCATCCATCATCATTGTTCTGATACTTGGTACCCCATCCCTCCTCGCTTCGCCCTGCTGCGAACCTCAAAGCTCTCTTTGCCTTTTCCCTGACCGCTAAGGCTGCTTCGTGCCGCCCGCAACCGCCATCACCGCCTTACCTTTTTATCATCGTTACACCTCTTACTATAGCCACAAACCCTATCGCCATGGCTGCCTTGCCTTCCCAACACGACCTGCTTCAGCGCCTCCATGACTACCGTATCTTTGACGAAAACCGCCAGAGCGAGATCGACTTTTTGATCCAGAGCTGTATTAAACTCAACAACACGTGCTCCACCCTAGAGTCAGATCTAGAGGATGAGAGAGCTACCCGCCGCATGTGGAAGAAGCGTGCCGAAGACGCCGAAGCTGCCGTGGCTCGCAAGTATACTGTGGTCCTCGTCGACGGTGATGGCTTCATATTCCGCAAGGCCTTCTTTGATGCCCTGAACGCTTCCGGTGGCTCCATGGCGGCCAATGAGCTTTACAACCAAGTCATCAAGCACCTAAAGGCGGCGGATGCGCTTCTAGGCATTAATCCCGACAGTGATGTCCTTGTCAACATCTATGCAAATAAGCAAGGCCTGGCCCGAACCCTTGCGGCTGCCGAGTACCTTAACCACCCTTCCCAGATCGACACCTTCTTTTGCTCCTTTACCCAGAGCCGCAGCCTTTTCCAGTTTATTGATTGTGGTCCGGGGAAAGAGAGGGTCGATGCTAAGTTACGAGGTAATGCCGTGTCAATGTGCTTGTGTCATTAACTAATCCCTCTCGAGATACCTTCCGCTTCTACGCAAATAATGCTCAATGTCAACGCATCTACTTGGCATGTTCTCACGATAATGGCTACATCGCCGAATTCGACAAATATCGCCATGACCCCGTGGCCTCCAAGGTGGTCCTAGTCCATGGCGCACAAACCGCTGCCGCTGCCCGAGCCTACGGCACTTTACCTTTCAAGACGACAAGATTTGACAATGTTTTCGAGTCCTCGCCCTTAGAGATCATTCCCAAGTCCGAGCCGGTTTATGTCCCACCCACCCTCGAATCACTCAGCCTAGCTTCCTCCTCCACCGAAAATGGTAGCTCGGATCTGACCCCAGCTGTCAGTAGGTCGAGCCATTCGTCCAACCCGACCCCACAATCCTTGACAACCATGGGTACACTTCCGCTCAATACCAGTATCAGAACCCCATCTCAACCTCAGTTGTCCACACCACCAACCGAGGTAGCGAGACCGAAACCTGCCCCTCCGGCCCATGTTGCAGCTGTTAATGGGGCCCACGAAGGCAAGGGCGGAATTCCAGTCAACCGCAACGGCCAAAGAATTGATCTAAAGATGAGAACTCCCACAGCATCGGAATTGGAAAAGTTTGAGGATCGTATCGCCATTCGGAAGCTCTGTAACGAGCATCATCTTCGAGACAACTGTGAATCGTACAGTTGTCGTTATGACCACGAACCCATCGACGCCGCCATGAGGAACACCTTACGCTATAAGGCGAGAAGCATTGCCTGTACTCAAGGATCCAAGTGTCGGCGAAGCGATTGTTTTTATGGCCACCAATGTCCGGTAAGTCATCTGGAGGGGTTCGTTGTGCTACCGTTGTGTCGTTTCAGTGTGCTGACGATCGAACAGTGGGGTAACAACAGCTGCGCAAATCCGAAATGCTCCTTTCTCAAAGCTGGTCTACACGACATCAGGGATCTGGAGATTGCCAAGGTCGTGGCATCTGTTTAAAACTGTTGAGCAGTGAGTCGAAGCCACGCAGAGGGATTTGAGGCTTGGAGAAAGGAGTTGTCGCAATGTAGTACCTCTCGTACTTCCTTTCTTATTTGATGGTTGAAGCAAGCGAGGCGAAAGCGAGATGCGAGTAGTTGATAGATAGCAGCATCTCTAGCAAATGTCTGCGTTGCTAATAACAAGTACTTCTTACAAATCCTGCCATCCCGGGAGCCAAAGTTTCCAGGGTCATTTCAACAGCTGGGCCGCCATCATGGGTGTTTGTACCAATTGAGGCGAATTTCTCGACAGTAGCGGTTTGCCTCGAGGCATCCAAGGCGAGTCCCGAAGGACTTTTGCATGGAATAGTGCAGCATGGTGCCCACTTGGTTGGAGGGATCTTTTGCTTTTTCCGGGGTTCTTTGTGTGAGTTTCTGCCGCGAGAAAGGCGAAAAGTAGGCCTGAAGCAGTTTAAGCGGCCAGCTTCCTCCACAGATCGGATGCACGGATGAAAAGCTTCCTCCCTGCTCGCCTGGGTCAGCTCATCCTTGTTGGCATTGGGCACCCGTGGACGTGTCCTGGGGAGGCCTGGGTAGTGGGTGCATATCCTCCACTCAGCGTCGACTGCGACTCCGCTACCCGCTGATCAGGAGACCACACAGAACCATCATCCATGCACGACTGCGCTGCTCTTCCACCTGGATTGCGATGCTTTTCTGCCCATGCAAGCCATGCAAGCCATGCCACCTACTTCCCGGCACGCTTGACACGACCATTTTGCTCGTCAGGCTGCTACTGCTGCTTGTCATTGACTAAAAAAACCTTGGATTAGCACCTGCCTGTCGGGCGAACAAATGGCATGGTTGGTCACAGACAACTGCGGCAGGCTGCAACGAGGCATCAAACAACAACCTCTTCCACTGAACTCGTGGCTCAAGGCCCTGGTTCGCGCGCTTGACATTCATCATCCATCATTCACTTGCTCAGCCGTCACAGATTTCTGCCTTTTCCCTCTTTTTGCCTTGTTTATCCCCTTGTTATCTCTCTTGGCTGACTTGAGAAAAGGCAGAAGCCAGATCTTCGTGCCTGTGACTCGATCTCTGCTGCTGCTGTCGTTTGCTCTGCCTCAGCCTCAATTCTGCCTGAGACAGCCTACTTTTTTTTTCATCTCTTATACCTTTTGTGAATCACCCCCTCACCCCCCTACATTCCTTCTACGCCTTGTGTATTGAGGCGCTGGCGGCTCATCTTCCCCGATCCACATCTCTTCGCTATTGACCTACCTACAGTGTTACACTTTACACCACTAGACCTCGACTTTCCAACCCCTCCCCACCTTTATTCCCCAGGCAAGATGGACCAAAACTCCGGTGTCACAGCAGAAACAAAGAAGGCAGAGTCTTCGGCCGAACGCCCCACCACCAGCAAGATTCCTGCACCAAAGACTGCCAAAGACAAGAAGAAATACAAGAAGCAAGTTGGACCGTCCAGCAAGGCCAAGTCAAAACGTGGTAGCAAGAAGAAGGAAATCGTAGAGACGGAAGATGAATCGTCAGACTCCGAGTCCTCCTCGGAAGCCTCGACCGATAGTGACGACTCGAGCGACTCAGGGAGCGACTCTTCGTCCTCTGTCGCGCTTTCCAAGAAGAAATCCAAAGTCAAGAAGCTGAAGGCTCAGGCAAAAGCCCTCGTCAAAGAACTGGAGAAGCAGAAGAAGAGATCCAAGAAAAAGATCACAACTGAAGACGAGGACTCATACAGCGAGGATGACTCTGAGGAAGAGATCATCAGACCTCGGTCAAGAGTTCGAGTCAAGCCGTCCAAGAGGGTGTCTAGGAAACACGACAGCCCAGATCGGGGGGAATGTGATGTTATTGAGA